CTTTCCTGAGCCTGGGATGAAGGAGAGCGGTGGGAGAAGGGCCGAGAGCCCACGGAACGAGCCCGGGGAAGGGATCAGCACCCAAAGCTGTGCACACACGGTGTCATCCTAAAGCTGGGCACACACCGTGTCCCTAAAGCTGGGCACACACGGTGTCCCCTAAAGCTGGGCACACACGGTGTCCCCTAAAGCTGGGCACACACGGTGTCCCTAAAGCTGGGCACACACGGTGTCCCCTAAAGCTGGGCACACACGGTGTCCCTAAAGCTGGGCACACACGGTGTCCCTAAAGCTGGGCACACACGGTGTCCCCTAAAGCTGGGCACACACGGTGTCCCCTAAAGCTGTGCACACACGGTGTCCCTAAAGCTGGGCACACACGGTGTCCCCTAAAGCTGGGCACACACGGTGTCACCCGGCTGGGCACACACGGTGTCCCCTAAAGCTGTGCACACACGGTGTCATCCTAAAGCTGTGCACACACGGTGTCACCTAAAGCTGGGCACACACGGTGTCCCTAAAGCTGTGCACACACGGTGTCCCCTAAAGCTGGGCACACATGGTGTCACCTAAAGCTGGGCACACACCGTGTCCCCTAAAGCTGGGCACACACGGTGTCCCCCTAAAGCTGGACACACACGGTGTCACCCCTAAAGCTGGACACACACGGTGTCATCCTAAAGCTGGGCACACACGGTGTCACCCCTAAAGCTGTGCACACACGGTGTCCCTAAAGCTGTGCACACACGGTGTCCCCTAAAGCTGGGCACACACGGTGTCACCCCTAAAGCTGGACACACACGGTGTCACCCCTAAAGCTGGACACACACGGTGTCATCCTAAAGCTGTGCACACACGGTGTCCCCTAAAGCTGGGCACACACGGTGTCCCCTAAAGCTGGGCACACACAGTGTCCCTAAAGCTGGGCACACATGGTGTCCCTAAAGCTGTGCACACACGGTGTCACCCCTAAAGCTGTGCACACACGGTGTCCCCTAAAGCTGTGCACACACGGTGTCCCCTAAAGCTGTGCACACACAGTGTCCCTAAAGCTGGGCACACACGGTGTCCCCTAAAGCTGGGCACACACAGTGTCCCTAAAGCTGGGCACACACGGTGTCCCCTAAAGCTGTGCACACACGGTGTCCCCTAAAGCTGGGCACACACGGTGTCCCCTAAAGCTG